ACAAATACCCAAACACACACAATTGCACCATCCCACCCTCAACCTCACCCCCACTTAGTCAAAGACATACAAGGACGCCACATTCCACTCATACCCCCGATAAACACTATACCCCCCAGGTCCAGGACATGTACCCACCCCCTAATGGAGGCCGCACACACCCGWACCCAGGAGGTAGACCCAATCATTCTGAGATGGAGAGGAGCAGACAGCCAAGGCCCGGCCCGGGCCGCACTAGGAAGCCCGGCCAGCCCCCCGCCGCAAAGAAGCCACACCCATGACCACCCCACCACACTGCCAGCGACCAAGTGCACCCCCCCAGCCGTCCACCCCCTGGAACCCAGCAGCCACTCTGGCCAGCGGGCCACCCACAGGAACCAAGAACCACACCTCAGGAGACCAAGCAGCACCAGGGAGGATGGAAAGCMAGCCCCGCCCCCGGCGACCGTCCAAGCCCCGAGCCCACCCACAGCCCAGGACCGCACCTGGCGGTCCGCCCTTCTTCAGGACCCCCTCCCCAAATGGCAGTCGGGGAAMRGGATGGGAATAAAGACCCTGACACCCACACCCCCACCCCCAGATGTACTGTTGGTGCGTGTTGTTCCATAGAGTAATTAAAAAAAGGAAAGAAGAAGAGGCAGAGGCCGGCGTGGTTCCAGTTTCCCCTCCACCACGACTCTAACCCAAATCCCYAAGTGTCTATGTGCAAACCTTGGGGGGTGGGCACAGGCACAGGAGGCAAGAGTGGTGCCATCCGGCCACCTATAGCCATGAGTGCCCACCATAAGTTCCTATATGTGAATTTCATGAAAATGTTACAAGTAAATGTCCAAGATGTACAATAAAATTTGGGGCCCAGGTGGTTATGRCAAATACAAATGTAATATTGTTGCTCTTATAACACAACTGTGCCCCACCAAAAAAACCCTACATGGGTAAAGTTGAAAGTGAAAAGGATGGAGGTGTGCGGCGAGGGATGGGGAGAATAAACTGAGGGAGCAAAATGCTGCCACAGGGAGTCAGCTCCCCCGCTGGCCCCAGTAAGCCCTCCCTTTCCCCGAAACCCACCCAGGAAGAGCAGCCCAAATACCTCTCATTCCAGGCTAACCACCAAGCCCACGGAACCCCAGACCATGGACAGAATATGTCAAACCTGTTATGTCTGATTTTTCGTAAACCTTGCTGTCATTCAGACTTATGCTCTAATTTGATATGTCAATTATTGGTTGATATTCAGGCTGCCCCGCCGCTCCCATTTAAGT